TTTTTTTTTTGCTGAATTCTGAATCATCTTCACATTTTATATTGATTACAGGTTAAATTGGCAACTATGTAAATAACTGCATTGGTTTTGTTCTTGTTTTAGATGACTGAGATAAATTTGTGCAATATAATTGTGTATCTATGTACACACAAGACTAGAAGTTGTTAGCTGCAAGGGAGTTGGTCCTACAACTCTTGCAATACCATGCAAAGTGGGATTGGACTATATCTATACAGTTTTGATTAGCGAATTCTTCAGAAGGTGCTCAGATGTTCCTCATCTTCTTACTCTAGAAGTAGCACCCAAACTTATTCAGCACCATAGGAACTGACAGATGAGTGGCCATGGCAGTTAAGGTTTATTGGCCAAGAATCGAACCCAAGTCTCCTGCATGGGAGGTGAACATTTTACAGCTGATTAGAAGGATTCTACTGATAGGAAATTGTAATCCCATACATAGCTTGTAGAGTTTATGTGCATCGATAGGAAATTGTAATCCCATACATAGCTTGTAGAGTTTATGTGCATCTTAGAGAAATAGATTGTAAAGAGATTAAACTATATGGGTAAGAAATGATTGGAGATATCAGGATGTATAAGTTCAGAAGCTCTGACCTTCTGAAAATTCCATGTTTGGCATATGGAAAATGTAGTATAACTAATTTTCATAGATCTTAAAGGACAGAAATAGAACAAAGAAATATAATTTATTACAAAGAACATTTAAAGTCAGGGTAGTATTCAAATTTTCCATGTTAAATGAAAGAAAAATAAGATCAGGGAATATTAAATTGAGAGATATCTTTGGGATGATTCAATCTTAGTCTTGCTTTACATAAAAAAAGGTTGAGTCACACCAGTTTAATTCCTGCAAAAATCTTCTAACTTGAATTAAATATAAACTTCATAATTTCCATTTACATTATTTGAGAAAAACATGTTGCTTAATTTTGTGGAAAAAAACCGCAAACACTTCAAATTCACTGCTACTGAGTCAATGCCAACTCATCGTGACCCTGTAGGACAGGGTAGGACTATGAGTTTCCAAGACTGTTACCTGGTTACAGTGGAGAAAGCCGCATCTTCTCAGGAGTGGTTGGTGGTTTAGAACTGCTGACCTTTCAAATCGCAGTCCAATACATAATCAAAAGAAAACCCAGTACAAGCATATTGGTAATTAGACAAACAAATGATTAAGTATTGAAATAAAAAAAGTAAACAGCGCATATAGAT